ATGGTTCAAAGCTGCAGCAGGGGAGTTTCAGACTCATCATTAGGAAGCATTTCTTTACTGAGAGGGTGGTCAAACACTGGAACAGGCTTCCCAGAGAGGTGGTTAATGCCCCACAGCTGTCAGTGTTTGAGAGGCATTTGGACAATGCCCTTAATAACGTGCTTTAAGTTTTGGTCAGCCCTGAACTGCTCAGGCAGTTGGACTAGGGGATTGTTGTAGGTCCTTTCCAACTGAAATAGTCCTATCCTATAATATTTTCTGCTACTCTACTTCTCTTGCTCTGATTTGAATATAATGTTGGCTATTTTAGTATCTATTTTCTAATGTTTTGAGCTTTTAAAATTACTTATAGGCTACTGTGCTTCTTTAAACTGTCCTAATTGTAGGCTGATTGAGTGTGCCAGATGTTGGTGATTGTACAAAGGAACTGGGACTACTGTCTGTAAAAGGAGGATTAGATCAGTGGTATTTTAATACTTGCGTTGATCAAAATGATCACAATGTAAAATTGGCTAACAGCTTGCGAAAAACTCTCACATTTATCTGTCTAGAATTTGTTTGGAATGTTGAAGAGGATTTCAAGCCTGTTCCAGATACCTGGATTCCAGCAAAGGACATAGAGTTCTCTAATGGCAATCCTTTGCCTGACGAAAATGGACATATGCCAGGTACCTATGGTGCAGCACAGGTAAAGTGGAGGTGGGGAGGAAATCCCTTTTTGAAGTGAATTAGAATTAGTTCCAGAGTTAAAAGTAGTAGTTAACATATTCAGAAAACAACTGGAATGTCAGTCACTGACTATCCTTGAAGTCTTTGTTCTTCTGACACGCTGAAAATAATTGCAGTTTGCTGTATAGTTGCAGGGCTTCAGCTGAAGGCACGGTTGTCACGTTTGCATTCCTCTGACATTTCTCCAAGATATGACACAGTTTTTCTTGTTACTCTTTCTCTCTGTAGTTAACTGTAGTGCAGTTTGTTGTTTTTTAAATGCATGTACAGTTGTAGTATGCATGTGATAACTTCAGATGAAGACTTGGGTAAATGCAGTGTTTTCTCATAGGTTGGGTGCCTGTGGAGAAAAACAGTAAGCAGTACTGCTGGCACTCATCTGTTGTAAATTATGAGGCTGAAATTGCGCTGGTACTGAAACACCATGCTGACCCAGGGCTGCTGGAAATCAGTCCGGTGCCATTATCAGAACTTTTAGAACAAACATTGGAGCTTATTGGGACTAACATTAATGCAAATCCATATGGTAAGTTTGTATGGTCTGTTCTTAAATTTTTTCTTTTTTGTTGAGTGACATTTTTGAGTGAAAATTATGTATTTTCTTTGTGTAAGTTTTTTTTTTCTTTTAAAGTTCTAAGCTAGCAATGTCACCTTTTGAGAAGGAAGGAGGAGAAAGGGCGAGTTCAGAGAGTACTCACTTCAGATAGCTGAGTTGTTGTGAGACTATTGATGTCTGTTAAGCCTCTTTCCACCTGCACCTTCTTTAGGAGATACTATAAAAATAGTCTTCAGTGTTTTAAAAAATATTCATAGAATCATAGAATGGTTTGGGTTGGAAGGGCCCTTACAGACCATCCAGTTCCAACCCCCCTGCCATGGGCAGGGACACCTTCCACTAGACCAGGTTGCTCAAAGCCTCATCCAGCCTGGCCTTGGACACTTCCAGGGATGGGGCATCCACAACATCTCTGGGCAACCTGTTCCAGTGCCTCACCACCCTCTCCGTGAACAACTTCTTCCTGATATCTAATCTGAACCTCCCCACTTTCAATTTCAATTTGGACTGGAAAAGTTGTTTTAAATACTACTATTACAATATTTTTTAGATTATTGGTACCTTTCCTTGAGTTTTATTTTTACTTGCTCTTCTGATGCTCTTTAGTCCATTAAAGTAGAAAATGTCATTCGGCCACTTTTTTGAGTCCCTAGAGTTAGCCATAAGTTGCAATTTTTAAATTACAAAATGTTGTATGTTTTTAAGGAGATGTCATTTAAGCTACATTTTTTGGTTGTGGTGTCTCCCTTTGAAAACCTTGTAACAAAGAAACCGTTTGGTCTGAGCACAAGGGAGTTGTAACCTCTGAGCTTAGCTGTTAGGGTAACTTGGAAGGATGCACAGGAAAAACAGTGGTACTTGGCCTAAGCATTTTCTAAGAATGTAGAGGAACTGCAACAAAAAATTCTCATAACTGTATTATCAGATGAAGATTTATCTTGAATGGTCAGTGAAGAGGCAGTGCACTTGTTAACAGCCTGGTGCAAGTATTAATCCATCTTCATAAGGAAATACGCCAGACTTTCGGGAACTAAGATGCTTGTGCTGTTGATCATGATCTGAAGCACAAAGAATTTAGCTGGAAGCTTTATGGCTACTGAGGAGGTGACCACAAGGACAAAGCAGACAACTGCATAAATCTGTCATGTTTATTTTATGTAACTGGAAAGATGCATCAGGAGGAGACAGCTACGTTTGATACTTAAAAGTATATTTAACTGTTCTCTTAAAGGCAGGACAGCATTGTAGTATCTAACAGAAATGTGCCTTTGCAGAGCGCTTTGAAGATAGCCATAATAACAAAAGCAAGGAAAATCTTATCACATGTAACTAGCAGGAAGATTTTTGTTCCTTTTCATAGGATTAGGCAGCAAGAAGCAGCCTGTACATCTTCTTGTACCACATGGAGCCTTTGAAATCAAGAATCCGCCTAGTCTGAAACAAAATGACATACTGTCGTGGTTTGAAGGCTGCAACGAGGGTAAAGTAGAAGGAATCGTGTGGCACTGCCGTGATGGGTGTTTAATCAAGGTAAATGTATAGAGGGACATGTGGAAAGCACTATAATAATTCATAGTGTGTGAAGTAGCGTGAGGTAGTCACACTTAGTTGCCTTTTCCAAATTCTTTAGCAGTAAATGTTCTCCTAGGAAATTGTCCGGTGACAGCAGAATTAGCCAAGCCAGTGAATCACTACCATGGTAACATGTTAAACTGTCATTGATTAAATGCTAATAAATTTAAGTAACTGAGAAATAATAATTTATTGCCTGTCTGTATAGAAATCACTCAATGTTCTAAAGTTTAATTCTTTTATTTAAAAACTAATTTCTTGCAATATTGACTTATAGAACAAGTACCATTACCAAGAATAATTTTTGATCCATTAGCCAGTTTAGATTATTCTGAAGCTGTGGAGGACACCTCGGTACTGGTTTTTCTTTGTGCTTTGTTGTTGCTAATGTTACTCAGATTACTGGCTGGAAGTGCCCTAATGCCGAGGAGGCTAGAATTGAGGCACTCCCACCCCCCAGGCTGGGAACTGGTGGGCTGCTGTATCAGTGTCTCTAAACTGACCTTCTTTCTTTCTGTTTTAGCTCCATCGCCATCACCTCGGTTTACGCTGGCCGCTTGCAGAGACGTACCTGAATTCTCAGCCTGTTGTAATTTCTTTTAATAGAGCTAAGTATGACTGTGACTTTGAACCAAAGAGTTTGTTTCACCATTTTTCAAACTTGGATGGTCAAAGTTTTGACAGGCTCAAAGATATCAAGTTTGGTGCTTGAAATAATTTTTCTCTTGTTCGTTGTTGTATGTGCTGCTTTCCTCTTACTTGTGTCTACTACAGAACTCCTGACAATCTTCTGTCCTAGGCAGCAGCCTGGATACTACACCATTTTAAGTTTCTCCTAAATGACTAATTTTACATAACTAGAGATCTGACAGCCAGAGCAGAGATCTAGCTTTCAGCATGTTTATTTTCCGTTCAGAAACAGGTTCAAAAGTTAAGTGTAACAGTTTCCCAAAAAATCCTTAATTGTAAATAGTATGTTGTCTAACACTGGCTCGTTCTAATAGCTTAGCTGAGGAATGCCATCAGCTGTAGAAGTTCCATAGGTTGCAATTCTGTAAATGTAATTATGATGACACTGTTCTATGTAGGATTTGGATTTAGGATCGAGTTGTTTCTTAACAGTAAAGGATGTATTTCAGGGGGACCAGCGTTAGTCCAGAAGTTTGATATATATATATTTTTTTTTTTTTTAAAGTTGTAACCATTTCTTTTTGGGGAAAACTTCTGTCTTATTTAATTTTGTAAGCTGGAGCATTATGCTATTACTTGAAAACTTAACTAAGCTGTATGTTTTAGGTAATTCCACTATTCTGGGACAGAAAGAGAGAAATAGTGTACTTTATGTAATTTTGGAGACCTGTAGTAATTAGGGAGAGAGGTGACTTGGCTTAGTAACTCCCATGTTCATACTGCATCTCCATGGGGAAACTTCACCAAGGGCATATTAGGTGGCACAGAGATAATAAAGATGAGACTGGACGGTTGTCTGAGTTGGCTTTATTTTCCCTCAGCTATAAAAGTATACATCCAGCTAGGTAAAATATACAATGTGAAAAAATTTTTATCTACAAAAATAACATCAGTTTGGCTGAAACACTGTAACTTGTATTTTCAATTCTTTGTTCTTGCATTCTCTAAAAGTGAGGTAAAAATAACTGGGGACAGACCCAGCACACTGACCCTGAGTCCACAGGTAAGAAGTATGATAGCACAAGGCAGCAAAAATAAATTACATCTTATCAGTGTGGCACTTACCATTCTTAGCATGATTTAACTTGTATCATTCCAAGTTAAAACCAGACAAATAAATATTATGTAACTGCCCCAGACTTTAGTTGCCATACCAATACTAAGGATACTAAACAGTAGCCTCATCAGAGACGGTGCCTAGATTATGCCCTTCAACGCCGCTTTCATCTCTCTAAGATAAATTAATTGTAGTTATTGTTCAGATCCTCAGTTTCTTCAAAAATAGGAAGGGTCGAAGTTTTCTAGCTCTCAGCTTTGTTTCTTCCTGTTAAAAAGACTGAAGGCGTTCCAGCTTTATCCAGAACTGAGGAGATAGATACACGTCAACGCCAGCTTTTCTTTGCCGTAAGAGGCTGCATGATGGGAGTATCATACGCTAAGGGTGTCTGTTGTCTGACCTGGCACAGAGACACTGCACCTCACTACACTGTTAGGGGAAGGTTGAAACCTGGGAACGGCTTTCTGGAGTCTCAGTGAAGCACCAGAATTCCCCCAAGGGATCCCGTGGGAGTGCAAGACCAGGAAGTAGGTAACATCATGGCTACTGGCAGACAGACTGTTGGACAGTGATCTGGCCTAAGGTGAAATCCCACAAGTCTCTCTCCTGTCCAGCTGATTTTCTGCCCTAACAGGGTTGCTGTCAGAGCATCTGTTTTTGTGGGTCCTTTCCACCTCTGTTTACAGCCATTACAGAGTACTTTTGCAACGTCATCTTATTTCAGCCTGAGGTCATCCAGGGGTCCGGCGCTAAGTACTTCTTCCCAAAAAACTGCTCTCCCATCCTTATGCAGGACACAGGGTGTTTATTTGTCTTAACAGCAAAAGCATTGTTTCGTTTTCTTGTCCTTTTCAGAGATAAGGCAGTACAAGAGTCGATATCCAGTTAAAAACCCTTGCCTCAAGGGCGGCAAAATTCTCCTTTCTCATCCACTCTGAATCACAGGCAGGTTTCCTGTGAACCTGGATCAAATTTCACCGCCTCTATCAGTCTGCTCCCTGTGAAACATGCTCGAGTGACATCTCCCTGGCACCCCTGTGCGTAGCTTGGTATTTGAAACGGGTGTAACAGTCATGCTTTTGGGACTGGCCGTGGGCTGGGGGGCTGTTTGCCACAATCGTTTCTGTACGTAGAACACAGGGCTAAACAGCTTGTTTCTAGCAGAGCAAAGAATGCAGTTAAAGTTGTTGGGGCGGTGGAGTGAAGATCTCCAGCTGCACTAGAAAAGGCATCTGAACCAACTGCAGAAGTCCGGATAAATTAAAATCGCACACCGGAGCTGGAAAGTAGAAAGTCGGTGCCATAGAACTGTTGGCTTTGTTCCATACAGAGTGATGCGAGCGGTACCTGCCTCTTGAAGCAACCGGTGGGTAACTTGCGGATAATTCATTGGTTAGAGAGTTGTAGACATCTTCTGTTATTACCGAACAAAACATGATTTTTGGTGCTGAGTTTTATCTAAAAATCTAGAAATGCTGATTGGAAAAGAAAACCCAGTGCTAGCCTTCGAGTTTTCCTCCCTTCTACCGGTGACAGAACCACCCGGCTGACCGCAGTTACCTCTCGGGGCCTTCCGAATGGATCTTTAGCTACGCCTACGTGTCCCAGGGGGTTTTCTGACACAACCTCTGCATGTTCACGCGGTCACACGTGGATTCAGATGCAGCCCAGCTGGAAAAGGCAGGTTGTGTGCTGGCGTTATTCCAGGAAGCACAGCACGTTCAGGCAGCAACGAACACAGAGTTCTTCCTTTACCAGCACTAACCAGAAGGCTACGGCTGATGTGAAGGGAGGCGAGTAACTGGCTACCGTACAGAAGCAGCTTAAGGACACCACTTCTCCACTGGATTCGTATCAGAGACCTGCGGACTGATTCTACATTCTCATATAGGATCACAAATAAAATAGGGATAATGCAAGACCAACTTCAAAAGAGGAAAGAGAAATTATGACAACGAAAGTCTAATTTGTTTGCTAATATTCAAAGAGGAATTAATACTTGTGTTTACCTTCCTTCATTCTCAGTTCCTACCTTGTTAGAATAGATGTTCAGCTCCTGCTGGCACGCTGGCACTTGGCCAAATGCAGCCTCTTCATGGTTTGCTCCAGCTGTACAGTCAGCTTCTCATTTAATATCTCCAAGTTATTCTTCGCTATCCGTAGCTGCTCTCCACTGTCAGCCTCCTGTTGTTCAGTAAAAGCAAAGGTTTGTGGAATACCTGGCCACACATGAAGCCCAGGATTATTTAAAACGACGGCGAGATAGGGTCAGTGGTGATCAGAGGAAAACCACATCCAAGATTATTGGTACTACAGCTTCCTAATTCTGTCCTGGGCTGCTCCTTGGGTGTCTCCTTTCCACTTGTAATTACAAATTGTGCCACAGCAACGTCAGTGGTTGGAAAAGTGCCCATTCCGCGTCAACCATTTAGAAAACCAAAGATCAACGATTGTACCTTTTTCAGCTCTTTATGCAGCCTCTCGTTCTCAGCGATGACCTTTTCCATTCCTTTGGTTTTAGATTCGCACTGCGTGCTCAGCTGGCTCTCCAGACGGAGTTTCATTTTTTCCATTTCAGACTAAATAATGGACAGTTTGTTAAAACGCGCACGTTGCGTAGTAGAAAACATCAGATTCGCACGTTTAAAGCACGGCACCTGGCGCAGCGAGCATAACATTGCATCTTTAATGCAGCCTTAAGTTAAGGTACAGCGTGCCTTTACATGGACCGTGCAGTACGTTATCCTACAATGAACCTCTGCTCTTCCGTCCTACAAAGTTCTTATTTGGTATTTTTGAAACCCTTTTGTGCCAATCAGTGTCAACAACAGGCTTGCTGCTCCATATTCCTACTAACTTGCTTACAAGCTGCTTCCTAAATACAGGAGATAAACCAGTACCTTTAGCCTCTCGTTTTCCTGTTCAAGACCAAGTAATTTCGCATTAGAAACCACAGCTGGAGTTCTTTTCAGATCTTCATTTGTTCTTTGGACTCTCTCTACAACCTTTTTCATCAAAGCAATTGTTTTTTCCAATTCTGGCACTGTCTTTCCACTTTTACCAACCTGTAAGAGAGGGAAAAAAAAAGAAAAGGAAGTAAATAGTTAACATTCTGAGACACTTTATTGCTTATTTTCCCACTGCCGTTTATAAAAAGATGTTTTATATTTTGGTGTGACTTGAACCTAAAGTTTCTTGCACACTTAGCTCCCCAAAATTCACCCCTAAAGTCAACATATCAGTTCCTTCATTTCCTGGGTTAGCCAAGAAAGCTGCAGTTAGTCACAAAATCTGCTGCACTTTATGAACTAAGCTGAAACATTAGGAAACGAAATCAAAGCACCATTTTATTTTTTAGCTTTTCTTGGGAAGCAATTCCTTGATCCAACAGCCTGTGCAATTGCTTGAATGTTAATCCTGCCTGAGGGGAAGAAATGCAAAGAATGGCTGGGAGCTTGAGGGAGGAAAAGAGGGCCCTGTTTGAGCAACCATACTTCTGCTGGACTGAAGTGACAGGAAACTACATCTTCAGGCAGGAGTACATTTTCTCCCTTTCCCAAGGCATGTATTCTCCTTGCAGAGTGATAAACAATCAGTAAATATGGGGGGAAAAAAGCTTTTAAAATCTCCATTTTTCTTCTTTCACTACATTCATTTCCACAGTAGAAAAGCTGTTAAAGGATGTTCAAATGCATTTATTTTCCTATCTTTGTAGTGACGGTTTTCCTCAGCAATAACAATTTAAAGATGCTGCTTCTGGTTCTGGGCCCACGAAGTACCTCCTTTTCTTGCTACAGAGGTAAGGAGCACAGTACAGTGGAAAATAGGGAACTTTTACTTCCCTGGAGGCCTACACGGACCTATAGAGCAACCAAGTTTTGGAAGTGAAAATTTATTCTTTCTTCTCTAAAATAACTGGAGGGATTAGGAGGTTCGTGTTGGTGCACGGCAGAGTTAAGGAAAAG